ATCCCCCTCCGCCCCCTGCCCTTCCCTCCATCCTCCCACTCCTCTGCCCTTCCCCCTTCCCTCCATCCTCCTCCTCTCCCTGCCCTTCTCCCTTTCCTCCATCCTCTCCCTGCCCTTCCCCCTTCCCTCCATCCCCCTCCTCTCCCTGCCCTTCCCTCCATCCTCCCACTCCTCTGCCCTTCCCCCTTCCCTCCATCCTCCTCCTCTCCCTGCCCTTCTCCCTTTCCTCCATCCTCTCCCTGCCCTTCCCCCTTCCCTCCATCCCCCTCCTCTCCCTGCCCTTCTCCCTTTCCTCCATCCTCTCCCTGCCCTTCCTCCTTCCTTCCATCCTCCTCTCCCTGCCCTTCCCCCTTCCCTCCATCCCCCTCCTCTCCCTGCCCTTCCTCCTTCCCTCCATCCCCCGGCTCCCCTGTCCCCCAGGGGGTCACACGGACGGGGTGGAGGGGTACCTGGTCTCTCCCCCAGGACGCTGAGTTCAGTCCCGTTGCCGGCATGGCTGCTGGTGGCCGAGGTCCAGATGAAGCAGCGGTAGAGCCCGGCGTCGTGCTGGGTGAGGTTGGCCAGGTGCAGGGACGCGTCCCGCTGGTGCCGAAAGCGCCCCGAGTCCAGGGCAACGCGGCTGCGCAGCTCAGTGACCTGGTGGTGCGGGGGGTAGATCTGCACCTCCCCACTGCCACCGGGTGCGCTCCGCACCCAGGTCACTGCCAGCTTGGAGGCCTTTGGGGCGGCGGAGAAGGTGCAGTTCAGGAGCACGGAGCCCCCCAGGGAGGCCCTCAGCTCCGGTGGCTGATGCACCCGGACCTCTGCGGGGGAGGAGAGAGACATAGAGCGAAGCAGGAGAGGCTGCGACCCCCCCTGCAATCTCTGGACCCCCCACTGCTGGGAACCCTCCCCTCTTCCCAGACTCCCTGCTGCTGGGGACCTTCCCCAACCCTGCCCTTCCCCAGTTCCCCCAACTCTGCTGCCAGGGTCTCTCCCCAACCTCCCATCCCTCCCCCTGCTGCCAGGAGCATCCCTCCCCTTCTCACCTGGCGTGTGTTCCCCAGGCTGCCCCACTCCCCAGGAACCTGCCCCACTCCCCATCCCAGGCCTGCTGTCCCTGCACCACCCACCTCCCCCCGGGATCCCTGAAGTCAGCCCCCACATGGTACCTGACCCTTGCAGTGGGAGGCAGCCGAGGAGGACGAGCCAGATGGGCAGCATGCGACACATCCTGGGCTGGTAACAAGCCCTGGGGCGGCTGCTGGGTCTCCGAGGGCTCCGGGCTCTCGCAGGGCAGGGAGACGCCCGGCAGATTCTGTACTCACACCTGGTTGGTTCCAGCAGCGAGAGACCAGCCTGTGGTGCCCACCCTGGGTGCAGGGCCTGGCCACGGTGCCAAGGGCACCAGGTAACAGAGATGTCCTGCAGCCGCCCTACAGAGCCAAGCCCCCAGCCGGGGAGAGCTGGGTGTGACCATCACTGGGTGCTGCGTCCAGGGCTGGGCTCTGCACTGCACAGACGGGGAGACGCCGGGAAGGGGTTGGCAAAGGGCCGCCTGGCGGAGCTGGATCCACTCGGGTCAGCCGCACGAAGCGGTGTGGGACACCTGCCCAGGGAGGGGATTCCTGAGAGCAGAGCCCTCGGCGGCCAGCAGAGCAGGGCAGAGTGACAACCCCAAAAGTGACAGTGGAGCTGCTCACCTAGAGCCGGCGCAGATTGTCCATCAGCCCCTCGCAGCGCCCAGGCGTCAGGACACGAGGCTTTCGCACGTGAGGGCACCAGTCAACTCACCAGAACGACGCCAAATCCTGCTGCCTCCCCTGGGCCGAGCCCCCGGGAGCTGCGGCTCTGAGCCAATCTTACAGAGAGCCTCGTTCAGCGGCGGCTGGGTCGGGATGGCCCCTCGGTCAGAGCGCAGAACGCGTCCAACCACCAGTGGCAGCGTCATTTCCCACCCACCCCCGAGGAGCGGAGTCTGTGGGCGTCTCACTGTCGTCAGTGAGATGGAAGTGAAACCAGGCCGGGATCGGGGCTGCAGGGCCACTGGGAGAGCTGAGACACAGCCACACCTGGGCCCAGGAGTGGCTCAAAGCCATGGTGATACCAGCCCTCCACACACAGCTTCATGGCCCAGCCCTCAAACACCGCA